GTCGTGTGCCGAGGTGTCCCGCTGCTCGGCTCCCTGGGTTGCATGTGGAGTGCTGTTCCTGGGGGTTTGTGAACCTGCCTCCTGGTCTCTAGTCCTTGCACTGGAAGGATGCAGCCAGCAAACGATCGTCGTTCATTAGCTTCTTGTCACCTATGGTTTCACCGAGCTCCAGCTCATCATCACGTGTTGCTCTGTTCCTGTGCCAGCTCTGCTGGAATCGATATTTTAAGATTTCTCCGCAGCAGAGCAGGCGGAGGAGGGAGGTGGTACGCAGAGGTGGGATAGTGGTGGTTCTCGAGTGGTTTATTTTCTTACTGGGATTACCATAGTGCCTGGAAAGGGAGCAGGACTGCTGGGTATACAGAGAAACTCAGTGACAGGTGGAGACGCCAAGCTGAACAGCAAAGCAGTGAAAATTTGTGGGTAGGAAGCGTAATGAAAGACATTTTCTTGCAGGCCTTCAAAAGCCTTTGGAGTCAACTTTGGATCCTCGTGAAGATGAATTATTAACCCCATGGAAGTTCCTGTGACCCTTATTGCTGAAAGTCAGTTCACTTCGACTCTTCCACGTGCTGAGGGAATGACAAGAAATCAAGCATTGCTTTCTTAGTTCTTTTGCTCCACTTCTGCTCATTTCTCTGCGTCTTTTCAGTAGTCTGCTTTATTTTGGCCGCTGTGCCGTTATTTGAAAGTAACCCTCTGTTTGAATTCTGAGGAAGGTGGGTTGCTGTGCTGAGCTCAGGGTACCCTTTTGAGAGCTGCACGTTTGCAGCGGGCCGTGCTCCCTGGGGTTAACAGAGAGGTGGTTGCAACAGTGCTTTGGAAAACGGGAGGGGAACACAGAAGCGAGCCCTGCTGCTCCGCTGGGTGGGCGTAGTGGCGGTGTCTCTCCCAGCTGACACCAGCCCCGTTCCTGCCTTCTGCAGACCTGAGCGGTTGGGGAAAACTGGTGGGCTGTGTAGGAGAAAGGAGGCGCATCCCTGCTTTTCCTGGAGTAACTTTAGAATAGCTTGAAGTGTCGTCTTCCTCGTGCTAAAATCAACACTATGAAGAGAGAGGGATTTTCAGTCCCTTTAGGGCTCAGCGGTTTAAAAAAATCAGACTGACTTGTCCCTGAGTGAAATGGAGGCAAAAATTTAAGTTTTTTGTTTTTTAAAGAATACCCATTTGAAATTGCTTCTGAAAGCTGTCTGCTCAGTGATGGTGTATGCTGTGCTGCCTGTCAGAATGAAAATTTGAGAGTGCAGTGACTGTATGTTAATTTTTAGTAGCCAGTAATGCCTCCGATTGGCTCACCACCATCGCTGTCGCTGCTTTTGTAGGAACATGGATTTTTGTTCCATCTGGCAATTCTGGTGTTGTGAACAAGGTTTTGTATTTGTTCTTGACATTTTTCTTCAGAATTGTTTGATAGAAATATGCATGCGTGGACTTTTTTGTCGTAACCGCTGTGGTTTGTCCCTCGCTCTCTTAACCAGTCGGAAACAATACAGCCCGGCTCGTCAGCCAGGCAGCCCGTCGCGGCAGGCAGCCGGGCACATCCACGGCGCTTCGCTCTGTCATGTCCGTGGAAGGCCTCCTTGGCACGGGAGGGGAGTGAAAAGCGACAAAATGACAAAGTTTGTTCGAAAGGAAAAGAAGGCAGCATCTGTGCCAGTTCCTACTGCAGCAAAACCGAACTGAAATGCCGCTTTAGTGGTGGGCTTTGCTTGGGGTCCAGGTGCCGGAGGTTGCTGTCTCGTGCCTTCTGTCTGTAGGGTTTTCCGCCTGTAGTTCTTGATGCTGCTCTGGAGAAGGGTGCATCAAACTGCTGCAGCCAGAGCCCTGGAATTTTCCAGCTTCTTCCTTTTTATAGTTGGTTGGTGAAGTGGTTGCGGTAATCGCTTCTGCAGCCCGGTCTCCTCCGCTTCCCCACGCTGCTGAGCTGTGTGACCTTCGCGGCCTGTGCTGTGTTTAACTTCGGGAGCTGCCTGATGCAGACACCAGGAATGCGATTGCTTTGCTGGGAAAAACTCGGCTCTGCGTTTTCAAACAATGGAAGTTTAAAAATGGCTTTTCTAAGGTGTAAGGCAGGTACAGCAGCTTAACCATACACCGGCCTCCCAGCAGCGTGGGGCTGTGCCTCCTCCTGAGATGGGAGCTGGTGTTTATCAGTGAGGGAAAGCGTCTTGTTTACATGAGAGCACTGGAATATTATTTTCAGTCTCAGGCCTGGTTTGTGGGAATTCTTGCTTCCTATTTCTTTAGGACCCATAACATGCCGCTTGCTGTTAATTACTATGTAAACTCACAGCAGTGTGAAAAGGGTTTGTGTGCACCGACCGGTGCTAGTTTACTTCGAGTGAGGTTTTCTCTGCCTCCTAGGCTAAGCCCGAAGCCGGTACTGCATGGAAGGAGACGGCAGCATGCCCGGGGAAGGTGCCGGTGTCCGCAGCTCCCGCAGACCCTGCACTTTGCATGTTTGGAGAGCTTGCTCTGCCGTCACCGAAGCTGCCTTCCTGGCGTCTGGGGAGGAGGGTGGGCAGTGTGTGGTGACAAGTCTTCCCTAGGTGTGCTCAGTATGTCACTGTGGGGAATTGCACCAAGATTTGGGCTCTGTTTGCTGGAAGAATGTGGATTCCTTAAGGGCTCTGTTCGCTGGAAGAATGTGGATTCCTTAACCTCGCTGTTTCTTAGCTTCTTGACCTCATGAGTGGTCCATAGGCTCCTGTGAGGACTTTGCAAAGCAGCCGCGTATATTCTGTTCCATGATGCACAAAATCTTGTCTTTGGGGAACCATTGCTATGTCCGTACACTGGGACAAGGCTGAAAATGAAGTTGCTTGCAGCCATGGTGTTTCTGCAGTAAACGAACAGACAGCCCGACCCTCCCTGCTGTTGCATAACATTTTTGCTTTTACGCTAGAAACAGTTTGCTTTCCCTGGGGGTGGCCTTGGGGAATAGCAACCAGCCTGGGAACTGGATTCTGTAAACATGAATTTCATTAACATAAGGGGGTTTTTTTCTTGTTTGTTTTCTTTATGTTAGGTTTGTGCTGGCGGTGGGCAGCGCGGTCTTCGATGCGATGTTTAATGGTGGAATGGCCACAACTTCTACAGAGATCGAGCTGCCTGATGTGGAGCCTGCTGCCTTCCTGGCTCTGCTGAAGTAAGCTGCTTCTGATCTACAGTGCCACTGGAATCAACAGATTATCGTAGGGAAGGGTATCCTTAATGAAAGCAGCGAACCGTTTTGTAGAGTGGAGATTGTTAAGTTTCTAAACAAAATGCCTCTTGTTAATCTGTTCAAGGGTGTTTAAATGCCAGTGTTAAATCCTTCTTTTCCTGGGTAAAAGCCTGGTGTAGCTACTGCACAAAACTGTCTGACTCGCTTTGTGTTTTGGTTTAGCAATGGTTAATGGTTAAAGCAATATGCCCTCCTGCTGCTGATTCACAGTATGGGCAGTTCGCAGTTTTGTAAATATGTAGTTAGATATAGCTACACCACGCAAATGCAGCAACAGGGA